TTATATAAAAACAATATGAAGGTGACGCCATGTTGTCTTTGTTCTTTCCAAAAAGAAAAAAAAAAATCGTGTTAATTCAACTTTTCTTCCTTATCGCTCATTTATTGGCTGTAGGACCAGCCCCATACTTTCTAACTAACTGCTTCATTTTTGCACAATATATAAAGTGGTGTTATTTTGTTAAAAACATATTGAAATGTCAACTTTGGTTTAGAAACTCAAACATTTAGAAAACTAACAAACTGCTTTTTTTTACTGACCTGTGATGGAGCGTGTAACCGTTTTTTCCATCCAATCTTAGAAACTGAGGGATGTGCTGTGAAACAACCAAAGTGCTTTCCTTCAACCAGACCAACAAACGCCGTCTCTAAGATGGAAACGTTTGGAGTGTGTGTGACACCACATTGTTTGACAAAGAGCTGTTTATGATTCTCCGTCATGTTTGGTTTCCATACTTGGAAATGGGTTAGACGGGATGTGATATTTTGATCCTGGGTCGCACAGGGACAGTGGCCTGATTGGACTAGGAAGAAAAACAAGGCATGTCTACACCACAACGATATATGCTACTTACAGAGTATTTTTACCCTTCAAAATCCAGAATGTTATAAAAGAACATCAGGGTAGCATCAAGTTTAGTCCTTAATTGAACATGAAGTGGATAATTAGCATTTTAAAAGGAGCTCTTTGCGACTCGTTTTTAAAAAGCATTTCATAGTCTCAATGTGAGACTGTGTTTTCACATTATACCAGACCTGTATGTGTCTGCGCATGTTCCTCTGCACTGATTGGATTACTTGTGTGTAAAAAGGTGCTGTCCACAGATTATACTTATGAATTATACTAATCCAAGGTGGGGGGATGGACAGCCAATAAACTTAAGATTTGGAAGCAAGGAAGCACATGGTAAATGTTTTATGCACAGTTTTGCATATTTAATCATATATAACTTAACTAATTCAATTCAAAAATACTGTATTAATCCCAAAGGGAAATTAAATGTTGTTGTAACTCGTTATCCTCATTTCATTAAGAGCTGTTATAGATACTGATGGCTGTAGGTGGGCGGGATCTGTTGTAAAGGTCCGTCTTGCAGTGGATCCAAAGAAAATGGCCGCAGATGCCATTCGATCCATCCACCCAGACTCGACTGGCCACTTGGTTCCCCTGGGCTGCAGGACTGCCTGAATGCCGGGCAGAACTCCTCCCAGTGCAATGGTCACTCCTCCCAGCAGCCTGTTGAGCTCCTTGTTGCTGCAGACAGACAGCTGCTGGTGCCGGGGGGATGATCTCGGTCCTTCTGCTGTCACGAGCTGCATTTCTCGCCATTTCCAGTATCTCGGTGGTCGGGCACTCGAGCATAGCCGGCAGGGAGACGGGAATGCATCTACAGAACCTCCTTTTCAACTCATTTGAGATTTGGGGCTGTAGCTGAGATATTATTAGAGCTTTTGAGATGTTAATCAGCTGCTCCTGGTTGTAAAAACCACCTTGTTGTCATGTCATGGTTACGCATCATAACCAATGTTCAAAAGTAAAAAAGTTTCAGTAAAAATCCTTCCAGCTGCACAGTATCTGATAACAGAGGAAACCGTCATCCAAATAAATGTGATTTACATCCAGAAAAAGAGGAATTAAAGTTTCCAAAAGCAAAATGTCAATGAATGTAACAGAGCTGCTCCAACATGCAGCCACCCCGAGCAGCATAATTCTAGAATATATACACATTTATATCATTTATGTTCAGAATTAAGATTTTTATATGTTGTGAAGTTTGTCTTTGCTGTATGCAAACCGCTTAAATATCCAAGTCCATGTGTTCCAATCATGACGTCCAGTAAGAGAGCATCACCTCGTCTTCCCTTTCGATGAGTCATGTCACCTTTTGTTTAAAAAAAGGGTGAAGTTTGTAACTATTTGGTCTGTGCTGCATGTCCTGCCTGTCAAGTTTCTGAGCACCGTCATATTCATCTCTCTGAACAAATGAACGGCTACTTGTTTCGTACAAACTCACATTTCATAAAACCGAGAGTCACAAGCTCTACCAATTAATTTTCCTTCTGACAGACTTGCCAATTCATTTATTTAATCTTTGGTAATCAAGTTTGTCGACATGGACTTATCTGTTTGGAAAGATTCAAAGCCTCAAGCCTCCCTGTCAGGAAATGTTCAGGGAAATAAAGTATTTTAATTATTACGAGGTTAGATATATAACGACAAATGAGAGGGCAATGTGAGACTGTCGGTTCATGCTGCCGTTTCTAGAAAGGGTTGTAATTTGACAAATTGACAGATCACATTAGTTTCAATATCTCTATGAATGTCTGGTGTTGGCTGATGGTTATATTAGCAGTGGTGGATACAGCTAACCAAAAAGTTAGCTTCGCTAACCTCAAATTTGCAAACTAAAATATTAGCTTTGCAACCGCTAAACCGCTAAAAATTATCAGAAGCTAATGCTAAAGCGCTAACTTTTATCATACACTGCTGTCGCTGAAAGACTGTCTGAAATGTGACAATGTTGTAAGTGAACACAACTCAAAACGGTTCACAAGTAAAGCGTCCATATCTGTTCTGAGGTGAGCTTTCGGAAATTCATCTGGTCCATCTGAACCAAAGAGGTGAAGCAGAAGTCTGCTGTGCTGAAGCAGAGTGATGCATTCAATGTGTGTTGGACGTCTCCCTCGTGTCATTTACCATAAAGAATTAACTCACTTGCCCTGTGATGGACTTGCAACCTGTCCAGGATGTACCCTGCCTCTTGCACAGTGACTGCTGGTTATGGACCCTCGTGACTTGAAAAAGAAGAAGTGGGTAATCCCTACTGTGAAGCATGGGGGTGGAAGCATCATGCTTTGGGAGTGTTTTTCTGCACATGGGACAGGACAACTGCACTGTATTAAGGAGAGGATGACCGGGGCCATGTGTTGCAAGATTTTGGGGAACAACCTCCTTCCCTCAGTTACAGCATTGAAGATGGGTCGTGGCTGGTTCTTCCAACATGACAATGACCTGAAGCACACAGCCAGGAGAACCAAGGAGTGGCTCCGTAAGAAGCATAGCAAGGTTTTGGAGTGGCCTAGCCAGTCTCCAGACCTAAGGTGCTAAATAACTAAAAATTTATTTAAAATCAAAAGTCCATGCTGATCTTGCGGCTCCTCCATCAATCAGCCCATTGTGTGTCATGTCCAATCTTATTTTGAAAAACCGCGATAAACGAACTGCGAAGTAGCGAGGGAATACTGTACTTGTATTCCCTTCCCTGTTCAGTACTAGTCCAGGAAACACTCTCAACAACTCAATCTCAAAAACTACAAGTATTCAACTCAAATCCCTCTGCGATGGGGGACATCATTGTACTGCTTCTTTGTTTTATTTTGACCTATTTTAATGTTGACTATAAACATTTTGTTCTCCTTTAGGATAGGATTAGAATTTAGAAAACAAAAACTAATTCTTAATCGTTTTAGTTTTCTCTAAATAAATTCATGCTGTTGCAACTTTCTCAAATCTTTTCATCTTGAACGTCGACTCCAACCTGAAATCAGGTATTTGAACTGAGCTTTTTCCATTTTAATCTGCATGAGCATGCCAGTTAACCTGCAGCGTTGTATGTGGTATTTCAGCGCCATTAGAGACTCACCCCCCCTCAATATGTCATTCTGCTATCTTCCATAGAACACATCCAGAGTCCATCCCATCCCCCTCTGCAGCACTGCTGCCTTTTCTCTTTCTAAACGTACCCTCATAGGTTAACCAACCAGCCATTTCACTTTTGGTTTTATGTTTTGGATGTGCTTGCATGCAGGCCAAAGCTGAGTGCGCTGGAAAATGTAAATACGACGCATGTAGTGTGACGTGGGAGGCAGCTTTCTTTGAGCACGAGGCGAGATGTTTTTGCCCGTGAGCTTCAGCTGAGTGCCGTTTATTCATTCTTCTCCAGCTTTTCTCTTCGACGAGCCTCAGAATGACTCGTAGCCTCAAACACAAGTCGGAGCGAAGAGCTTCCTCTTGTGTCTGACAGTGACACATGTTCTTGCCGAAGTCGGGGATTCAGTCTTCTATAGCAGACTCAACCAGAGCTTAAAATAACCTCCAGTTTGGTTTAACCCTTTGGTGTCTGTGACTCTGCTAATGGGATACTTTTTCAATCAGGACTGAGACACAAGCTGTTACACATCTGACCTTTTGCACCTACTGTTTGTTCAGTTTCTCAGCTCCCTAACGCACATGTTTATGTCCTCTTTTGTTCTTTGGTTTTATTTCTTGTTCTGTCTTGCTCACATTAAAAAAAAATAAAATTATGATTTGAGGAACAATCGTAGTGAACATAAATTTTTAACCTCAATTTTTGGTGTGATGTTTTTCCATTTTTGCGTTTTGTATTTCAAGTTTCATTTGAGATGTTCTCCGTTATGAAGGATCCTATGAATAATCGGATTCATATTATTATGAAAGCTTAAAGTTTACTGCAGATTACTGAACAACAAATGTAAAACAAGATGTTTAAAATGCATCGCAAACTGAGGCAGTGTTTGTGGCAGCATATCTCTGGTAAACTCTGGAGGATTATTAAAGTGTGAGAGATTAAAAGAGACTGGCAGCAGCCAAATCAAGGATATATGGGTGCTTTGCATTCAGAGTGGGGTTTTAATTCATTTTGCTGGATGTGAACTTATCAGTGGTCGTTACAGTTGAGTGTCCAGGACTAAAGGTCAGAAGAGAATCATTGTGAATTTTTTTGTTTCATATAATTTCCATCTGCAGTCCTTGCAGATTAAAAAAAACAATAATAATAAATGCAAGGTTGGATCTCAGACTCCGCTCACATCTCGTTTTCTTTGCAGCAAAGCATGTGGTAACGCACCAAAAACAAATCACTGGTGATTACTGGTTGTTCTGTGACTGTGAATATTTTATTGAACCTTCAGATTTAGTGTTTTGTGTTGGTGTTGTGTTTGTTGTTTGTTGCGAGCCCATTTTTCTTAACGGTCTTTCAGCATTGAGAGCAAACATGAAGTCACCATCCTCAGTGGACTCAATGAATTTGTAGTGAAGTTTTATGGACCACAAGGAAGTAAGTAGTTCTCTTTGATCGATCGGGTGTTTTATAAGTCTTCAATGCAGTTCTGTTAACCTTCTTCCTTTGGGCCAAACATTTATTTCTAATCTACTGTATTTTTT